ACCACTCTATACGACTCCACTGTGCCTGCAACTGGAGTATTGTGTTCAATTCTGGACCCCTCTTTACAGAAAAGATATAGCCAGGTTAGAGTCAGTGCAGCGTAGCGCCACAAGGTCAGTGGCTGGTTTGCAGGGGAAGCCGTTTTGAGGTGAGACTGAGGGAACTGGGCTTTTCAGCCAGAAGAGGAGACTCAGGGGGACTCTGTTGGTGACATACAGGTATGGGAGGGGATGTCACACAGAGGTGGATAGAGACCTGTTCTCCCCCACGGAGGAGGGCAGGACACGCTCCAACAGAGTGAAGCTCTGGGAACCCAGGTTCAATTTAGGTGCCAGGAAGTACTTCCTGACAGTTAGGACCCCGAGGGTACGGAATGGGCTTCCATGGGAAGTGGTTGAGGCCCCATCGGTGAGGGTGTTCAAGGATAGGATAGACATGCACATTGTGGGCATGTCATGAGCGGAGCTGGCTGGTGCCAGGGGTCAGACTAGAAGGCCCGGGAGACCCCTTCTGACTCGCGCTGTTTCTGTGTTTCTATGTTACTTTGCCTAACAAGCATGCTGACTACAAAGGAACACAAGAAGGAAGCTGCATTTGAGAGAGTCAGACTATTGGTCTATCTCGCCCAGTGCCATCACTGCTGCAGGGAATGGAACTCCAGGGATTTCTAGAGATGCCAGGGATCAACCAAACCTGGGATTTCTCCATGCAAAGCAGGAACTAGTAATGAGGTATGGTCTGTTCTTATCGGGTGGATGAAGATCCCCCCTCAAGAAAAAAATGCATTTGAGACAAAATATTCGTACAGAAGACCAGGAGATATGAGACATTTGTATTTCCCCCTCGGCTCACAACACCATCCAGTCTATAGCCACTCTGAGTTAACATCAGTGGCTTTGCTCTGATGGCTGTTAGAACAGATTTTACTTTGCTTCTTACATGACCTTAAAAGCTCGTACAAATCTTTGACCAATTTCAAAACCAATTACGTTTTCAGACTTCTTTGAGCGTATCTTCCTTGCCAAGAAAAAAGCATTGAAAAGCTTTTTACCCTCTGGGGTCTTCAAGATTAGCCTTCCATAAAAAGCTGCTTTTGGACCCCCCGCCCCCGCCTCCAGGATTAAAGCCTATTATCATTTCAAAAAACTAAGAGCTCTGGATAGTTGAAAAATGATAAATCACCCTGTTAAATAAAGCTCTGTTAAAATGTTTGGTAGTGCAAAACACACAACCTGGCTGGCTAATTCTAAACACAGGGAAGCTACATTACAACTACTTGTATCCGAGCATTAGAAGAAACACCGAAGATTACCATCATCATCTTGCATTTATATCCCACATTTTTTTCCTCTTGTGAGCTTACACAGCTCTGAGGGAGCTTAGGCTGAGAGGGAGTAGGTGTGTTCATACAGAATGCTGAGCCATGCCATATGGTAACTGCATGGTGTGGTATCTCACCTTCTGTCCTGGATTCAGGCAGGTGCATGGTTTCCATGCTGCTCCCTCTTCCCTCCAAATGGAAGCACATATCACTTTAGCCCCCATGGATGAAAATCAAACTCAGTGCACATTGCTCCTGCCTGCGTCACCTGCCTCTTCCTCATCAGGCCACACGCTCACCTGGGCCTGGCTTCAGCCTATGGCCTTTCCCCCTGCCACTGCTCAGTAGAAGCAACTGCCTACTCACCAGAGCAGCACAGTTGCTCTAGAGGAGCACTACTGGAGCACACACCATCCTGCCCTGCTCTGTGCCAGACTGCAAGCACAACCAGCACATACCCTCCTCTCCCCACTCCCTCATGGCACATGTTTCACGCCCCCACACATACCATGCGCAGGACTCACATGCACTGCCAGAGGCTGCTTCACCCCTACAGTCAGGCAAATGGAGGACATTGGTGCAGGCACCATGCAAGGGACCAAAGCACTGTGTCCTGCTGGGAAGAATTTCCCATGGGAGCACATGCAGGCATCTGCCTGGGAAAGTTTTCCAGCTATCCATGAGAAATGTGTTTGCATCGTAGCTGTGAGGAAGGAGGTAGGAAACAGCAGGGCTCATTGAGAGTCTGCAGGAATGTCAGGGACAAGACAGGTGTGGCAGGGAGGGCAGCAAACCTGCATTTTTCAGGACGATTGCCCTGACTGCAATGCCTGACAGGTGTAGGGCTCTCCTCACAAGAGAAGACTGCTGGTTCCCAGAGTATCACAGGCACTCAGCTATTTCCAAGTGCCACTCCAGTAAAGTTCAGCAACCAGACTGGAGCACTAAGCACAGCTGCCTTCACCCTCGCTGCTTCTGAAGGCAGCACTCTGCAATGCCCCACTGCCACTGAGATGCCAACACAGCAGCTGGTCATCAGGAAGGCAGCAGATGGAAAGGGAAAATGAGCAGCATGAAGCAGCCAATCAGAATACAGCAGGCTCCAACACTGCAGTTACTAGGCAGAACAAGATGCTCAGACATGCAGGCTGGAGCATCTTCTGCAGTCAGAGCCACTCTACCATAAAACCTGATGGAGAAAACTGCACAGAAACATGGCAACTAGGTTAAGACAAACCATGGTGAAGCAGGGAAACCTTACAGCAACCCATTGTTTCTCTCCATGGTTTCATGGAGACCCATGCAAACTGCTTCACCATAGATGATAGGTTCAGACAGGACAACAAGCCAAGTCCCTGCAGCTTCTACCATGGCTTGCTGTTACATGTGAGCCTTCCAGTGACTGGTCCAAAGTCACCCAATGAGTTTTATAGCCAAGTATCTCCCTGGACCTCCCTGGTCCAAAACTCTCTCTACCATACCACATTGGCCCTCATTAAGATGATGGCTACGGTGTGCACACACAGGTAGATTCCTACAGGATAAAATCACTTATTGAAAGATTATGTCTAACACATTTGTAAAGGCAACTGAAAACAATTGCATCTCCTATCTCTCTATTGCCTTCAACACAGTGATCAACAGAAGAATAACGATAGAAGGATTTATTTTTGAGAAGGGGAAAAGGTTAGGAAAAACTTTGCAAATGGGGTGGGGGGAATGGATGGGTTATAACTTGGGTGAAGGAATAGAGAGAAGCTGTAAAGTCAAGAGAATAACAGTAAAACGTTTGAATATAGCTATGAGAGGCAAGCAAAAGGCTCAAGGCACAGCAAACTGCGGTCACAAGAAGACTGGGGAAATGGCAGGCACTCCGCCCATTTACAGTATGGGGGGGTGGGGATGGAGTTCCTGCCAAAACCGCTAAAGCTGTTTAATCTTCCTGGAAACAGGCACTGCGCAGGCGCAGCACCCATAATGTGTGATGCACAGAGGCCACGATTAAGAACCATTATTATGCCTTGGCAGAATGAAATGGACTATCAAACCACTATCAGATTTATTTTTAAGAACGGTCTTGCACATGTATGCAGATTCAGATGTCGCTGCTATGAAATTTGGGTAATGTTTCTCTCTACTTTACTGCTCTGCCATGGCATTTGTACATATTTACTATCCTGCTCATTGCTCTGTCTTGAAATATCTGTGTAATTACTAATTGTCCGCCTCCCTGCACTGTCTCGAAATCTGTATAGCTTCACTAATCCCCAACACTGTTCCACTTTGAAATTTAAGAATCTTTATTTACTGCCTCATTCCCTGCTTGGATTTTAAAAAGACATATTTTACCCAATCTACCTTACTGCTCTGTCTTGAAATTTGAATGTCTTTACCGATCCCTATATACTCTGTAACCAGTAAGTATATCCAATAGCTGACAACAGAGACCAGTGAAGGAAACTGATCAACATGAAGGTGGGAGAAGAGAATTGAAAGTAGCTGCTGGTAGCAGCCAAAGGAATTTTTCAAGCAGATGTGATTACTTCAGTAGTGTCTCAACCAGCTTTTTTTAAAGATGTTCTTTAGGAAAGAAAGCATGGACATGAAGGATGACACTAACAGGGACACTGACAAGAGGCAGACATTGCTATGCTGGGCTAAATGGCAGACAGCCTCTCTTGTGGTCCTGCACTTGTGCTGTATATTTATATATATAAGTTTGCTAATGTGTTCCTAGGTTCATAAGAATATGCTTTTGGCAATCTGATGTGGGATGCGGGGGAGGGGGGTAGTTTCCCTCATGAACCTGCCATGCCAGTAGACTAGTTGCATTAAGGATGCTGACATAGGGAACAAGGAATCAAAGGTTTCTGCTGCAAAAATATACATGTCAAGAGCAGACAGGACATCTGTCAAGGAAACAAGCCACAGCAAGGCACAGAGCATGTCTGTTATAACAAGCAAACCCTCAACACACTGTGCCTTATTCTCAGGGTGTCTTCACATGACGTGAAAACTCACACATGCATGTGCACATCATCAGTTGTGAAGTAAATTACCTGCCTGAGTTTATCTCTCCCATTTCATGAGTTATTATATTTCTCCGCAAAGTTTCCTTTTCACCAATTTTTGCCCTCCCTCTTTCTTCTACCATTCTATCCCTCTTTCTTCTACCATTCTATCCTTCTATCCTTGTCACAAATGAGGTAGGTTTCTTCTGTAGCTGACATTCTTTAGCTAGTTATATGAAGTGAATCACAAATCTGCCTCATTTCACACAGTTACCCTGCAGTGTCCATTAACAATATAGTTATGTTTATAACATTGTAAATATTAAATATATAGAGAGGGATAGGGAAAGGAAGAGACATATTTTTCATCTAAAATGGACCCATTTAGCTGCTGAGATGTTGCAATATTATTAAAAATTACTTTAGAGCCCTCTTCCCACCAGCTGAAGCATTCTGAGAGGAGCATCCTTGGACTGCACTGGATGAAGCCTTCAAAGTCCTCAGACCAGCTAGGAATGAGGCAAAGCTAAGCTTTTTACAGCATACAGCCCAAAGGAACCATGAGGATTTCTGCCCCTCCCCAGCCTCACAAGTTGAAAGCACAACTCTCAGCAGATTTTTCCTTAATTTGGAAAATGGGACAGATTTACTTGAAGAACCGACATACCTCAGTTAGTCCACTGGCCAAAACTCGAGATGAAACCTTGTCGGCCTGTTCAAAACAAAGGGTTATTTCAATTAGTGAAATATTACTAACTGACAGGGCAAATCCCAAAAATGCCTTGTTACAACTGCAGCAAGCCCTTCCCCTGCCCCCACCAACACTTAAGAGTCATTACATGAGCATTTAACTCCTTCCTTTAAAGTAACTTCAGTAATCCTTAAAAGAAGCAATTACAACAGAGAACCATTTTAGTTTAGATTCAGAAAAAGCATGTCTGAGAATCTTAGAGCCAGGTCTATCCAAAGATAACTACCTTCCAATTCACTGAGACATAAAGGAGGCAGGCTTTACAGAGCAAGCCACATTTTCCCCATGTATTAATCCTACTACGTATTAGGCATTACAAAATGAGGCATGTAATGCATTACATAGAAAAATAATAGTTAGCATATCTACATATTTAATCCAACTTAACTGCCATGGTGCCATCTAAGCATCCTAGTTGTTTCAATGTTCTAATGTTTCACTTTTTATTGTTTTAAATTATGATGCTCTTCTTTATAACTTTTTGAGAGTAACAGCACCGCAATCCTACTGTGTTCACTCTTTGCTGTTTGTACGCCCTTGAACTCAGAGGCCTACTCGTACAAGCATCCACTGAGGAGTGAGAAGAATGTCAAGGGTGATCTTCACTTCCCCCATATCCTGCTCTGCATTTTAGCTAGACAGCCATCCGGCTGCAGCACTTTAGACAGGGAGGGAAGGATGCTGAAGCACCATCAGGATAGCTCAGGAACTGGCGATGCACCAGCTTGCTCGCAAGGAGATTATTTTCTCCAAAAGAGTCCAAAACAATCTCCTTGCGAGCAAGCTGCTACTGGGCACGCGCACTGCAAGACGGAGGCTTCCTCACAAGGAGATCCTTTTCTCTGAGCGAGTCCAAAACGATCTCCACATGAGTAAGTCCCTGCCTCGCCATGCACAGGTGGGCGCGATTGCGGCCATTCCCCCCCCCGCCCCAGCATAACCGTGATCGCACCCATCTTTCCTGCATGAATGCGACTGCGATCACAGGCATCTCCCACCCCCAGCATGATCATGGCCATCTCCCCACCCCAGCATGACCACAATTGCACCCGTATTCCCTGCACGAGCGCAACTGTAATCACTGTCATCTCCCCAGAGAGTACACCTGTGCCAGCTCAGAGCTTTTGTACTCACTAAGAGATCATTTTCTCCGAGTGAGTCCCAAACCTCTATGGTGGGCCAGAGAAATGGCCATGGCAGGCCGGATCTGGCCCGCGGGCCATAGTTTGAGGACCCATGCTCTAGGCAGTAGTTAAATGATGATAACCTATCAAGGACTAAATAATATAAAGCATTTCAAGTGTTCACTAATCTTTACAAAAATCCCAGGTTGAATCTAATGGTGGGCAACTGCAGAGAAATTAATGCAAACTTCCTCTGCAACCCCCTGTATGCTCCCAAATTCAGATCCAGAATATTTTCCAGACTCTTAGATTGTGAATTGAATTACAGTGGTACCTTGGCTCACAAATGCCTCAGTTCTCGACCAAATTGGATCGCGATCAGAAATTTCAGAAAAATTTTGCCTCAGGTCACAAATTCAGCAATGGGTGACAGTCATGATCGCGCCTGTCTTCCCTGCACAGGTGCAATCATGGTTGTGCTTGGGGGGTGGGAGAGATGGCTGTGATTGCCCCCGTCCTCCCTGCCCGAGTGCAACCACTCCCGTCTATGGCCACCATCGCGGTCGCACTCGTGCAGGGAACGCAGGAGCGATCACAGTCATGCCCAGGGGCAGGAGATGGCTGCAATCACGCTCAGGGGGTGGGGGAGATGGCCACGATCACACCCATCTTCCCTGCCCAAGCATGATTGCGATCACCCCCATCTATGGCCGTGATTGTGGTCGTGCTCATGCAGGGAACATGGGCGTGATCATGGTCATGCTGGGGGGAGGGGGGAGATGGCTGCAATTGTGCTCGGGGGGGGTGATCTTTGTTGTTCTTTGGCACTCTGCTTCAAACTTTTGTGTTAAAAAAAATAGTTACAGAACGGATTAACCTTATTTATATTGAACCTTATGGGGAAATTGGACTTGGCTAACAACCAATTTGGGTTGCGACCAGAGTGATGACCCTCATCTTTGGAACAACCTGCCTGCTGCAGTCCACATGTTGCAAAATTTGCCATCTTCTCAGCACCAAGTTAATACAGCTCTCTTTGCAGAGATATTTAAAGACCTCCCTGGTCATTCTGTGGCCTGATACAATTAGCCAAGGTGCCTTTCTTTTGGCAGGGTCCTTTTTAGTTATCTTTATCTTTTAATGTTTTGTATCTATTGTATTTTATTGTTTTTATACTTTGTTGTGGACCACCCAAAGAGCTTTGGCTATGGGCAGTATAAGGATGATGAAGAATATGATGATGATGCCCATATCCCACAATAGGCTATCCACTCTTGAAGGTTTGTTACTGCACACAGGCTTGTAGGACGCAGGTTTCAAATTCAAGTTCACCGTCATTCATATTTAGCCAGGTGCCAATGTAAAAGTAACCACAGTGTTTCTGGAAATGGGAAAAGGAGGGGAATTTGAGCGGGAAAGACAAGAAATCCAAATGCCAAAGCATGCAATTCACCTTTATAATATATAGAAAGGTAGTTTGGAGGCATTGATATGGCTACAAAGAATAAGCACGTGATTTTATTATGTATCAAACCATGTTTACTCTTAGGACAGAATTTTATAATGAGCTTTCCTTTGCTCATTGCTTCCCAGTGTCTTCTGTCCTTTATTTCTGTTTTTCTCTTTTTAAGGTGTCAGTAAACCATTATTATGACATATGTCTTAAAAAGTCATGTCATTTATTCAGGAAATCTTGTTCTTTAACTTTGCATGTTAAAAGGACAAGCTCTGATAGCTTAGCACCCAGAAAAGAATACACGTACTCAGACACATATACAGTGGTACCTCGGTTCATGAACTTGATTTGTTCCATGATTCTGGTCAAATTTCCCCATAAGGTTCAATGTAAATAAGGTTACTCCATCCTGAATCAAATGTAATTTTCTTTAACCACAAATCTATGAAACAAAGTACAGTACAGTACAATATGAAGAGAGGGAACACTAACCTTGCTTGAGGCAACTTCTGGCATGGAGGACAGGAAGGTGGGTGAGGAGGAGGTTATCGTTTGGAGGGAGAGTCTGTGACTGCGATCTCGACTAGAGGAAGCCACGACCACGTGTCAGAGTGGGGAAGACGGCCGCAATCATGTTCGCATGAAAACGATCGCAGCCATCTTCCCCACACGAACATGATCGCAACCATCTTCCCCGCTGGAACACGCTCTGACACGTGGTCACGGTGCAGGGAAGATGGCCGTGATCGTGTTTGTCACCCGATGCAGAGTTTGCGAACAGAAGCAAAATTTTGCTGAACTTTCTGTTTGCAAACCGAACTGTTTGCAAACAGAAGCGTTCGTGAACCAAGGTATTACTGCACTTAGATTTCAACAACAAAAACTAACCCTCCTAAGAACAGCTGTGGGCTATATTGAAGTAAAACTGCTGATTTTAGTCCCTGCTGTTTGCACATAGCTCACTACTTGGCTAACAGCAGACTCAAAAGTTGGTAAGCAGGCATCGCTGGCCAGATAATGATAATGACCAGAGGACAACAGCTTATAGGAAAATAATTCAAGCATTCCAATATTCAGCAGACCAAATGAGTATTGCCAATGTGTGAGGAAACATAAAGGTCATGAAAAGGTGGCAGTTATAGCTACTCCTGCCATCTATAACGCATGCGTTTAACCGGCCAGCCAAATGCAGTGGTGGCACACTGGGCCTGCCACGTCAGGTCACAGGCCTTGTAGGACAGCCCGCACGTGGGCTTCAGCAAGCATTCTGTTCTTGCTACCTGCCTGAGACTGTACTCGAGGGCAGGGAGTAGTGGTGTTCCCACGCCTGGCTGGTCAAAATACACAGCCAGTAGACTGCTTTGATTTGGTGACTGCCATATTCAGCAAGGCTACAGCACAGTAAAAGTTACTAGTTACAGCTAGTAAAAGAGAAAATCTGAACATATGGAGGGAGTCCAAGCTTTGTGAAAGTTCTAAACTGACTTCAGAGGGATTCTTGCAACATTAAATGCAAACCACATGGAAATATCCTGGCCCCTCTGGAGTTTTATTTTTCATTGACTCCAAATGATTCCCTAATGTCATCCACATGCTGTGCTTCAATCTTCCTTTTCTTTCACATATTTTATTTTTAGATTACAAAACAGAGAAATAATGGTGTTTTTTATTGCAAAAATTATTTTGCTAATCCGTTAAGTATGCTGCAAAGCACAACACTCATCTATGCTAAAGATGTGCACTCTCACTAAAACCAAGTGGTAGAGCATCTGCTGGACTGCACCCTTAAAGGCTGAGAGGGGGCTGACAGACTCCTGAAGCTAGCACATTGGGAAGAATGTTTCCATTCAGCCTATGTTTCAACCACTTTCTACATCTGTAGGTGGTACTATTCAGGAAAGCTTCACCATATGATCTTATACTATTTGTTTAAGATGGGCCTACTTCTCCACAGAGTGTACATGATTAACTAGGCAAAAAGATTCAACTGAATAAAACAAGGAGTGGTCAATCACCCTCTGCTTGCCACACATAAGCACTTCTCACTATGTGCACTACCACATGTGAAGACCTAGTGGCCATGCTCATTTACTCTCCACCTCTCTCTTTGCAGAGAGTAGTGACTGAGAGACTACAAAAGAAGGTTAATACTAATACCACTACACACACACACACACACACACACTGCTCTTCTGCATTATTCTGTCTGGGTATGCTGGTCACAGCTCTGCCCAAGACCTACTAGGAAATGTATTAAGCAATCCCATTTGGCCACTCCTATTTTAACAGACCATGCCCACAGACCTTATACATATGCCCCCTTTAATATATATTGGCATCCAGATAAGTGCTAGAAGCCAGGGTGCTGCAGCGGTTAGAAA